CATTCCAATGTGAGACTACACATAACTAACACTCCCCCTCAAGCCGGTGCATACACACCATATGTACCGAGCTTGTTACATATGTAACTAATACGAGAACCAATAAGAGACTTAGTGAAAATATCTGCTAGTCGATCATTCGACTTTACAAACTTTGTAACAATATCTCCTGAAAGTATTTTTTTCTCTGACAAAGTGACAGTCGATCTCAATGTGTTTAGTCCTCTCACGGAACACCGGATTTGACGCAATATGAAGAGCAACTCTGCTATCACACACCAGTTCCATCTTGCTGATTTCTCCGAACTTTAACTCCTTGAGCAATTGCTTGACCCAAACTAACTCACACGTTGCCATAGCCATGGCCCGATATTCGGCGCTAAATCGAGCAACTACATTTTGTTTCTTGCTCTTCCACGAGACCAAATTACCTCCTACTAGAACACAATATCCAGACGTAGAACGTCTATCAAAAGGTGATCCTGCCCAATCAGCATCTGTGTACCCAACAATCTGCTCGTGGCCTCGATCCTGCTAACCAACCTCTTATATCTCGTAGGGTCTCTAAAAGGCTCCCCCTGTCCAGGCAGAAGCTTAGCATTCGGATCCATAGGAGAGTCAATAGGTCTGCAACCCATCATTCCACTCTCCTCAAGAATGTCTAAGGCATACTTCCGCTGTGAAATAACAATACCTGAGCTAGACTGAGCAACCTCAATACTTAGAAAATACTTTAATCTGCCCAGATCCTTAGTCTGGAAGTGCTGAGAGAGATGCTGCTTCAAATTAGTAATACCATCCTGATCATTGCCAGTAATAAAAATATCATCAACATAAACCACTAGATAAATACACAGATTAGGAGCAGAATGCCCATAAAACACAGAGTGATCAGCCTCATTACGAGTCATGCCGAACTCCTGAATAATTGTGCTGAACTTACCAAACCAAGCTCGAGGGGACTGTTTCAAACCATATAGTGACCTGCGCAATCTGCACACACAACCATTAAACTCCCCCTGAGCAACAAAACCAGGTGGTTGCTCCATATAAACTTCTTCCTCAAGATCACCGTGGAGAAAAGCATTCTTAATGTCTAACTGATAAAGAGGCCAATGACGTACAACAGCCATGGGCAAAAAGAGACGAACATATGCTACTTTAGCCACGGGAGAGAAAGTATCACTATAATCAAGCCCAAAAATCTGAGTATATCCTTTTGCAACAAGACGAGCCTTAAGCCGATCAACCTGTCCATACGGGCCGACTTTGACTGCATAAACCCAACGACAACCAATCGTAGACTTACCTGCAGGAAGATGAACAAGCTCCCAAGTGCCACTCGCATGTAAAGAAGATATCTCGTCAATCATAGCATGTCGCCATCCTAGATGAGATAGTGCCTCACCTGTAGATTTAGGGATAGAAACAGTGGTCAAAGAAGATATAAAAGTATAATGAGGTGACGACAGACGATGATAATTTAAACCGACATAGTGGGGATTAGGATTAAGTGTGGATCGTACACCTTTGCGGAATGCAATTGGTTGACTAAGAGAAGACAAGTCCGCAGTAGGTGCAGAATCTGATGCAGGGCGTGAATCACCTGGGCCTGATGTTGGATGTGGACGGCGATGATAAGTCAAGAGTGGTGGAGCTGCAGAAAGTTGAACTGGATTATGTAGAGGAACTGAAGCTATAGGTGGTGGAGCTACAACTGGAGCTGTAGGTGATGGAACTGGAGCTATAGGTAGTGGAGCTACAACTAGAGCTGTAGGTGGTTGAGTTGGAGATGTAGAGGAAGATGAACGGGAGATAGTGACTGAATCTCCAAAAGATGAAACTGGTAGTACCTTAGAAATATCTAAGTGATGACCTAAACCTGTGAAGTATGATTGGGTTTCAAAGAAGGTAACATCAGCGGACATAAGGTACCGCTGGAGGTCAGGAGAGTAGCATCGATACCCCTTTTGTGTTGTCGAGTAATCCAGAAATACGCACTTAAGAGCACGGGGAGCTAACTTATCTGTTCCTGGAGTAAGGTTATGGACNTTTGAAATGTGTACGGACAAGATGTTTGATTAATAATCTCACACGATTTCATAAACTAGTGAAATGGGGAAGACAAATACTCTCGGGCATTATCACTAAGAAATGTGCGAATAGAAACCCCAAATTGATTTTGAATTTCAGCGTGGAAGGTCTGGAAAATAGAAAACCGCTCAGATCGATTTCTTATCAAAAATATCCAAGTGCACCTGGAATAATCATCAATGAAACTGACAAAGTAGCAAAATCCCCAGGTGGAACTAACCCGACTAGGACCCCAAACATCTGAATTAACTAAAGTAAAAGGTGACTCTACTCGATTATCAAGACGCCGAGGGAAATGGGAGCGAGTATGCTTACCGAGCTGACATGACTCACACTCTAGAGCTGACAAGTGATATAAACCAGATACCATTTTCTGAATTTTTGACAAACTGGGATGTTCCAATCGTTTATGTAATAAATCTGGTGAATCAGTAATAGGACAAGTTGTTGAAGGAAGACAAGATGTGAATCCATGTGATTTAGCAAGGATAAGGTAATAAAGTCCATTTGATTCACGCCCGGTACTAATGATCCGCCCTGTACTCCGTTCTTGTATAAAAACATGGTCATCAAGAAATAAAACAGCGCATTTAAGTGATTTGGCTAAGCGACTAACAGCTAAGAGATTTAAAAAACTATTGGGAACATAAAGGACTGAATCTAAAGGTAAGGAAGGAAGTGGGCTTGCTTGACCTATTGCAGTTGCCATGGTTTGAGACCCATTGGCCATTGTGACTTTTGGAAGAGATTGAGAATACGAAATAGTAGTGAAAAGAGATTTGTTATCAGAAATATGATCTGATGTACCTGAATCAATGACCCAAAACTCGGAGGATGAAGATTGGGAGAAACAAGTCACGCTATTACCTGTTTGAACAACACAAGCTATCTCAGAAGATGTCTGCTTACATGCTTTGTACTGAAGGAACTTAGTATAATCTGCTAAAGAAATCATCCGACTATTCAAAGTATCGGTTCCCATGTCGCTACAATTTATAGTAGTAGGGTTAACTTGAAATAGTGGAAATAAGTAACTCCTGTGGGAAAACTGAAGAAGTAGCTGGGAAAACACTGCTTACAGCAGAAAACAGAAAACTATTTTACGCTGGAAACTCTGTTCATGCCGGAAAAATATAAAAGTGGTCGGAATTTGATTTGAATTAGATGGGTAGGCTCGGAATTGTGAGGAGAGCAGACTGTCCTGAAGAAACTTCGTGAAAAAATGGCTGGAAAGTCGTCGGACCCCTCGCCGGAAAAGTTGATGTTGCCGGCACGTGGAGGCGCGTGGTCGTCGGAGGGTGATCTACCTCGTGGTGGTGTTGGTTTTAGCACAACACCGACAGAAAGTGACTTTCACGTAGACAGGCCTTAGGTCACCGGAAATATTGCTCGATGACTAATTTCTTTTTTCCCGGTTAACGCTGGACTGACGCACAACGATCTTTTCTCACTAATGCTCTGATACCATGTGAGAAAGTACGGGAGAAAATACGTTATTGATATTAGATACTCAATATAATTCAAGAGGTCCTATTTATAGCTATAGTCTACAAAGTACATATTACTCTCATTCCAATGTGGTACTACACATAACTAATAATATCCACATACTTGCTGGTGTTCGAAATCCCAATCTTCATCAAATATACTCTCGGGTTTATAAGGGGCAAAAATGGGTAAATTCATCTTCACAAACAACAAATGTTTCATTTTGCTTTTCCTAACATTATAATTGCTCCTATTTACACATACCATCTTGTTCATATTCGCCTCCATTCCGTAAAAAACCCCAGATAAATAACCAAGGCTTTGATACCACTGTTATGTCGAGGAAGAGGCAAACCCGAATTGGGTACACAACAAGTGTCAAACACGGAGCAACAACAAATCAATTGAAGAAAGAGGAGAAATCACAAAAACAGAGTAGCTGTTCAAGGCTAAAGATCGGTTGCTACGGGACTCCAAATCTGATCTCCACCGTTCAAATCAAAGACCAAGATGTTAGGAACACTCAGTCAAAAATGCAACCCAATCCAACGGTGAACAAATCGGAAAACGTAATTTCAAGCTGGCTGGTCGGAATAAACTCTGCAGCAAAATGAATTCTTTTTCTTCTTTCTTCTCTCTTGATGGAAGCTCTCTCAAAAACCACTCTTATGTGCTAAAGCCTTTCAAAGACTTATATCAATGAGCGTAGAACAATTCTTCGAGGTTGCTCTATTTATAGATAATGAGCGATACTTTCTCTTAAAGCCAAAACTAACTTCAAATAGGAATAAAAATCGAATCCAATTCCGAATAGGAATGGAAACCAAAAGATAATAGGATAAGGCCATTGGGCCTTTGGCTGGACGACATGGGCATGACCCAACACATTCCATAGACCTCTGAGAACTAGTGAGTGGAGGTGGCTTTTTATATGTTTGTTTTAAGTTATTCAGTGAATATGATCTTAGCTGGGTCAGATGCTATACAATTGCTAGTCATATAACCTTTGTAGTTTTTTTTTTTCTTTTGATAAACTAATCTTTGTAGCTTATAACCCGAATATATACTTTTTTAATCCCTGGTGTACACTTTCTGCTGGACATTAAGGCACAAAGAGTTCATTTACCCATCATTTTCTTTTTTTCTTTCTTTTCAGTTGAATATTGCTGTATAAATTTTCTGAATTTAAGTGAAAAAAATATTAATGTCTCATGTTTTTTCTGTACCATCTTGGTACCAATTTAATAATATTCTTTACCTTATCAAAAATGAGAGATTTATATCTCATATATTCCCCTGGACCATTGATGTGATGCATCAAATTTTAGGAATTATTTTCTCAATTTAACGAAACATTCTAGCCCGTGTTGCATATACAACTGAAATGAAATTCACTTGATCATTTTTTTTTAACTCAGGGAAAAGTGAGTTTTCTCCGGATGATGATGCACATGTTATTGCTGATTGTGTCAAGGTATATCCTTCTAAACCTAAGTAAATAGGGAAACTCTTAGGTTAGATATTTGTAGCCATTTCCTTCTCAAATTGCTAACTTCTCTGCTAAATTTCTTCAGTACATTCTGCGGGAGTTACCGTCATCTCCAGTTCCTGCATCTTGCTGCAATGCCCTCCTGGAAGCATTTCGTAAGTTTTTCTTTTTTATCTCAATTCTGGATTCCTTTGGACCCTTTATTTCCTTCTTGATGTAACCGAGATCATATAGAAGAAAGAAGAAGAAATGTTTTTCATACTCCCTCCATCACATTTTATATGACATTGTTTGACTAGGCTTTAAGATGCTAGTATGAATTATACATAGTATTAGTGATAGCGGAACAAAATATTAAATCGTAATGTTAGTTTGATACAGAAGACATCACATAAAATTTTGAAATTGTTTAATTGAATTCTTGAAATTTGGTAAAAGTTGTATAGTAATAGGATGGTGTCAAACATTTTGGGTGTTCCAGAAAAACAAAAGTGTCATAAATTTGCAGCTTGTATATATCACTAATTGACTACTGTCTATGCTTATTGTAAAGGTTCTGCATAATAATACTCTCTTCATTGAATATATCAGTTCTAGGCTTATATGCTTTCTCTGTTGATTAAATTATTTCAAGATATTTTGTGGATTCATCATTTATTGGCTAGTTTTATGCTGGTTTTTAACCTATCGCAACCCTCCTCTTTTATTCTGGCTTGGGAGCAGCAATGTGAGCAAGCTCACACAGGCGGAGTTTAATGAGCCTGGGATTAATTTTAATGGATAAACATGGTCATTGAGGATTCATGTAGCCAACAACTTAATGTCTCCACATTCTTTTAAAGCCTTTTTTATTTCAATTGTTTCACATACTTGTCCTTGCCAACATCGGCAAACCGTCAAGGAAGTAAACGGCTTATAATGCCTAAACCTCCAAATGATATCAATGGAATAAGAAAAAGGTGAAACACTTGTGGAAAATGGACATGTTAAATGTTCACTGCTTCAGTTGGTCCAGGTTTTACTGGAGATTTATAAAGGGAATCTGATGTGACTGATAAAGAAAAAGGCATGCGATGTGTCTTTCGTGCAACAAAAATATCATAACATGTCACTCTGTTGTATTACGAACATATATGCTAAACTTTCTAAGCCCCAAAAGTCTCATAACAACTCACTATAATGTTCTGAGTATAGTTTTTTTTTCTCCTTGAGTTAGGATCCATGTGATACATGCTTACTACCAATCTTTCCTTTAAAGCTGCAATCATGAGATGCATTCCTACCATGATTAAGAAAATTTCATTTTGATTGGAGTAAATTCAACTTTTTTACGGAATGGATAAAGTTTGTATGCCAAATACAACTAGGTTAAAGCCACTAGCCAACTTTGGCATAATCATTGTATTGAATACGAATTGTCAGCATACCTCCGACATCTTTTCTAGGTAAATTTATCCTAGAATTTTGGACTGGAGGAATCATGTTAAATGTATTTATGATTATTGTCAGGAACTGAGCGTGTCAATAGAGTCAATAGCATGCGGTCAGCCATATGTGAGACGTTTCCAGAGCCAAATCGTCGCTTGCTGCAGAGGTTCTTATTACATCTTATCGATTTTATCTGACATTTTCATCTGATGCTTCACGGTTTGTTGGTTCCCATATACCTCATTCTATTATCATTTTTGGTAATATCACCATAACTGCTCCTCATTCTCTGAGTATTTCATTTTCAAGTACGTAACTTTGAGTTTCCAGTCGAGCTCTATGCATGTAGATATTTATAGAATTGCTAGATACATGTTTAGATATCTATGGTCTTCTCAATGCTGTTAGATTTGCAATCTTCTTTTGCTTTGATTCTTTTGAATCAATTGATTGAACAGCTCTTACGTGACTGTGAGAAAGCACGGGAGAAAAATATATTATTGATGTTTTAACTATATTACAATGAACCCTATTTTTAAATATACATAATACATAACCTACTCCTACTACATACGGGACTAGGACTAATTATACATATTCACATAACTTTCTAACACTCCCCCTCAAGCTGGTGCATATAAATTATATGTACCGAGCTTGTTACATATGTAACTAATACGAGAACCAGTGAGGGACTTGGTGAAAATGTTTCCAAGCTGATCATTCGACTTCACAAACTTTGTAGCAATATCTCTCAAGAGTATCTTTTCTCTGACAAAGTGACAGTCAATCTCAATGTGTTTAGTTCTCTCATGGAACACTAGATTTGATGCAATATGAATAGCAGCTTGATTATCAAACACAAGTTCCATCTGACTGATCTCGCCAAATTTTAATTCCTTGAGCAACTGTTTGATCCAAATTAGCTCATATGTTGCCATAACTATTGCTTGATATTCTGCTTCTGCACTAGACCGAGCAACCATATTCTGTTTCTTGCTCTTCCAAGACACCAAATTACTGTCACGTCCCAAATTACCCCCGGACGTGATTGGCACCTAGCTAACACCACCAGCTAGGCGAACCTTTTTCTCAAACATTTAGCCATTTACTCAAACACCGGGAGAACAATTAAGTGCATAGCTAAAAGTATTATTAATGATTAAAGACGAAATAATTATCACCCAATACCTTAGTCAATTGATAGAAAAACCAACAATTACTCAAATAATAAAACTCTAGCCCAAATCCCACACTAAGACCTTGGAGCATCTAATAGAGTAATGAGTTTTACTGACGGGTATGCAAACCCCCAAAGAAAAAGGAAATAACTAACACGAATTAGACAAAACTGAAACGAAAGCCTCCACGAACAATACGGTGGCTCACCTCAGCAATAAGATCCACTCGAACAGACTCGTCAGCAACTAACTCTATCTCCCGCAACGGTATCTGCATAGAGATGCAGGTAAGGAGTGAGTTATACGTAAATATAATCCAGTAAGATCCTCGACCCGTCACTCTGAATACCTCTGGAACAAGTGTTAGAAAATACAAATACACCATAACAAGAACAGTATACTAAACTCAATAATTATACAATAACACAATATATAGGTATCAACAGAGTTAATAATAGTTAACTAACAAGAACACACATATCTCAACCCACTACACACTAAGGGATTGTCATAACTACAGTGAAAGAATTTAACCAACACCTCTATAAGTCCACAACGGCACCACAGTGCCTCAAATATGTAACAGAGCATACACAATGCTCACCGAAGTATACACAATGCTCCAAATATATATCAAGAAGCATACACAATGCTCGGGTGATGTATAAAGGCATACACAATGCCCCCAATATCATGGCTCACAACCGTATCAAACTCGACACCATGGCTCACAGCCGAATCAAACTCAACATCATGGCTCACAGCCGTATCAAAGTATCAAACTCAACATCATGGCTCACAGCCGTATCAAAGTATCAAACTCAACACCATGGCTCACAGCAGTATTAAACTCAACATCATGGCTCACAGCTGTATCACGCCATCAAACAACTTATAAAATAATTTTTTTAATTTTGTATTTTTCATAAAATAATATATTTGCTGCTAGTCTAAGACCACCGATTCTGCCAAGCGCACGCTGTTAGTTTACAGATATGTATAGTGTAATCTTGTCCCACATTAGAAGAGGAGTAATATCTCCTTGTAGTGTATAACTATAAATAGGGACCTCTTGTATTGTATTTATCATCCAAGATCAATAACATATTTTATCCCGTGCTTTGTCACATGGTATCAGAGCATTAGTGAGAAACTCGTCGTTGTGCATCATTCCAGCGACTTCCGGGAAGAAAGACCTCTTCGCCGTGCAATTTTCTGGCGATTTAGAAGGTTGTCTGTAAGCAAATCACTTTCTGTTGGTGTTGTGCAAAAACCAACACTACCACAAGACTCCTCAGGCTCCGACGACCAAACCCCAGTCAACCCCACCGGAAAACACACGTCCACGCGCCGTCACGCGCCTGGAAAAGAAAAAATTTCCGGCGAGATCTAACCCACGCGCCGACGCGTGACCACTGTTCCGGCCAGATTTTGAAAAAGTTCCAGTTGAACTGCAGGATCTCCTGGTAATTCCGATCCTACCCTCACTGGTTTTGTTTCATTCCGACCACTTTGAGTTTTTTCGTCAGCTACAGTAGATTCCGGCGAGCTACAGTGTTTCCAGCGTGAACAGTGTTTTCGGCGCAGAACAGTGTTCTGCTTTCCTGCTGTAAATAGTGTTTTACAAGCTATTTCTTTGTTTTATCACAGGAGTTACTTATTTCCACTATTTCAAGTTAACCATACTACTACAAATTGTAGCGATATGGGAACCGATGCTTTGAATAGTCGAATGGTTTCTTTAGCAGATTATATTGAGTTCCTTTAGTACAAAGCATGTAAGCAGACATCTCGTAGCGACATGGGAACCGATGCTTTGAATAGTCGGATGGTTTCTTTAGCAGATTATATTGAGTTCCTTTAGTACAAAGCATGTAAGCAGACATCTCGTAGCGACATGGGAACCGATGCTTTGAATAGTCGGATGGTTTCTTTAGCAGATTATATTGAGTTTCTTCAAGACAAAGCATGTAAGCAGACATCTTCTGAGATAGCTTCTGTTGTTCAAACAGGCAATAGCGTGACTTGTTTCTCCCAATCTTCATCCTCTGAGTCTTGGGTCATTGATTCAGGTGCATCAGATCATATTTCTGGTAACAAATCTCTTTTCACTACTATTTCGTATTCTCAATCTTTTCCAAAAGTCACAATGGCCAATGAGTCTCAAACCAAGGCAACTGCACTAGGTTCAGCAAGCCCACTCCTTACCTTTAGATTCAGTCCTTTATGTTCCCAATAGTCCTTTTAATCTCATAGTTGTTCGTCGCTTAGCCAAATCACTTAAATGCGGCTGTTTTATTTCTTGATGACCATGTTTTTATACAGGAACGCAGTACGGGACTGATTATTGGTGCCGTGCGTGAATCAAACGGACTTTATTACCTTATCCTTGCTAAATCACATGGACTCACATCTTGTTTTCCTTCTACAACTTGTCCTGTTACTGATTCACCAGATTTATTACATAAACGGTTGGGACATCCCAGTTTGTCAAAACTTCAGAAAATGGTATCTGGCTTATCTCACTTGTCAGCTCTAGAGTGTGAGTCATGTCAGCTCGGTAAGCATACTCGCTCTCATTTACCTCGGCGTCTTGATAATCGAGTAGAGTCACATTTTATTTTAGTCAATTGGGATGTTTGGGGTCCTAGTCGGGTCAGTTCCACCTTGGGATTCCGCTACTTTGTCAGTTTCATTGATGATTATTCCAGGTGCACTTGGATATTTTTGATAAAAAATCGATCTGAGCTGTTTTCTATTTTCTAGACCTTACACGCAGAAATTCAAAATCAATTTGGGGTTTCTATTAGCACATTTGTAGTGATAATGTCCGAGAGTATTTATCTTCCCCATTTCAGCAGTTTATGAAATCTCAAGGGATTATTCATCAAACATCTTGTCCTTACACATTTCAACAAACTGGGGTAGCTGAAAGAAAGTATAGACATCTTATTGAAACTGCTTGTACCCTACACATACAATCTCATGCTCTGTTGCATTTTTGGGGGGATGCAGTTCTTACATCTTGCTATGTTGTTAATCGTATGCCATCTTCAGCTATCCAGAACTTAGTTCCATTCTATGTCATCTTTCCCCACTTACCTTTGTTCTCTCTTCCACTCCGTATCTTTGGAAGCACTTGTTTTGTCCATAACCTTACTCCAGGAACAGATAAGTTAGCTCCTCGTGCTCTTAAGGGCGTATTTCTGGGTTTTTCGAGAAAACAAAAGGGGTATCGATGCTACTCTCCTGACCTCCAGTGGTACCTTATGTCCGTTAATGTTAGTTTCTTTGAAACCCAATCATACTTCACAGGTTCAGGTCATCACTTAGATATTTCTGAGGTACTACCAGTTTCATCTTTTGGAGATTCTATCACTCTAGCTCCACCACCTACAACTCCAGTTGAGCTATAGGTGGTTGGACTACAACTGGATCCGTAAGTGGTGGAGCTGGAGTGACTGAATCTCTAAAAGGTGAAACTGGTAGTACCTCAGAAATATCTAAGTGATGACCTGAACCTGTGAAGTATGATTGGGTTTCAAAGAAGGTAACATCAGCGGACATAAGGTACCGCTGGAGGTCAGGAGAGTAGCATCGATACCCCTTTTGTGTTCTCGAGAAACCCAGAAATACGCACTTAAGAGCACGAGGAGCTAACTTATCTGTTCCTGGAGTAAGGTTATGGACAAAACAAGTGCTTCCAAAGATACGGGGTGGAAGAGAGAACAAAGGTAAGTGGGGAAACATGACAGAGAATGGAACTTGGTTCTGGATAGCTGAAGATGGCATACGATTAATAAGATAGCAAGATGTAAGAACTGCATCCCCCCAAAAACGCAACGGAGCATGAGATTGTATGAGTAGGGTACGAGCAGTTTCAATAAGATGTCTATTCTTTCTTTCAGCTACCCCATTTTGTTGAGATGTGTACGGACAAGATGTTTGATGAATAATCCCATGAGATTTCATAAACTGCTGAAATGGGGAAGACAAATACTCTCGGGCATTATCACT